ATCGGAGAAAGGGATTTGTGTCTGTGGTGTAGCGATTAGTCCTTTCGCTATCACACGTAGGAGACCTGAGTTTGGTTTCCAAATGGGGGGGAAAAGAAAACGCTATTTAAATTCTCTGACTCTCTTGTGGACTTTCTCATATTTATTTGATTCTTTCCTGTTTATTCCTACACGATGAGTTTGGACGCACTTGTAGCTTCGCTTATAAAAAATCACATCTGGTCTGGTCTAAAAGCCAAAACCTAACAAACAAACAAAACTCCACTGTAGTGGGAGACCTGATAAGATAATGGAAAGCTCTTGGGTCAAACAGAAGTGTCTATTATGTCACCACATCTGTGTCGTGTGTGTGGCCGTGTGTGTGGCTGTGGGTGTGTGGGTGTGGGTGTATTTGTTCCTTGTTCTTCTGTTCAGTGTCGCCTTTTTTTCTTATCCAGTCTTCTAGTGACATGTGACCATTGTCGGTCTGACTCTTAGAAAAATACAACTCTAGAATGTGGGTGGTTGGTAGGATACAGTATACATCCCTCTCTGCCTGGTTTGGCCCTGACTAGCATGGTGGGTGGTTGGTAGGTGCTCTGGTGTGGTTTGCTCCTTCTTTCCTATCAAGCATTTAGCCTCCTTATCTGTACTATCTAGTGACTCCTCTATTTATCTCCTTAATGATTTAGATTGTGTCAATGGGGATATAAAACGCCTATATTGTCTGTTAAAAAAAACCCTCAAATCAACAACAAAAAAGCGGACAATGAAAGAAAAAAATGTTTTGTTTTTTTCTCCAGGCCCTGGACCCAAGGCGTACAATCTCTCTGTCGATGCCCAAACAAGACATGGGCCTGGCGGAGGAGAGCGGGGGAGTGGCCGACCTGCACGGCCCCAAGTCCATTCTGTCGGGACCCAAAGGTCACGCGACAGGGGCGTTGGTCGGCCCCGGGTCCGGAGCGGCCCTGTACGGCCCAGCGGCCATTGTGAACCAGGCCATGAAGCCAAGGTTGCCTATCGTAGAGCAGGTCAGTTTTTGCGGTTTCTGCTCCTTTTTTTAAAATGAAGGACGTCGTGAGCTATGCTACTGTTTTAGGTTTTCTACTTTTGTGTGGGTGTGTGTGTGGGTGTGTGTATGTGTGGGTGGGTGTGTGTGTGAAGGACAAAGCTGCCCTGTGATGTTTGCATTTCTTTGTGTGTATGTGTGTGTGTGC